TCCACCAATTTTCGGATTTTTACTACCATTATAGGTTGCTCAAAAAGTTCATTATACGTTAAAAAACGGCGAAATTTCGATTTTCAGAGCTGCCGAGCGGAGAGTTTCGGCATTACCAAGCGAACTGAGAGTGACCTAGGAGAAAAACAAAAATTTTCCCCTAATCTGCAAGGTATGTGCTAGGTTTGTACCAATTTTTGGACATCTAGCGTCAAATCCGTGATGCTGGCAAAAATATCAAAAATATACGGCGAAAATGCCAAAAAAACCGGAAAAATCTCGATGTTTAGGCTCTGTGCGCGCCGGGTTAAAATTTTTTTTTCTCAAAATCCTCTTGACTACCGTGTTTTTTTTATCACATAGAACCATTTAAGACCGTGCAACATTTGGTTTTGTCGATTTAAAAAAATAAGTCCCACCCTACCGTAGGTAAATCATTGAGGAATGTTCGTACCGAAAATTACCCTCCAAAATCTCGAAACAAAGTCAAAAATACTGCACTGAAAAAAATGGTATGCTGTTTTAGCACCTAGGATGTCAAAAGTATGTCTGGTGAATGGTGATCCTATGAAGCTATACCTTGATTGCCCACGCAGTTGAATTTGCATTCATAGGATGAAAAGTTAACTGCCGGGGTGGTAAAGACAGCATCTTGGGATCACCAGACACATTTTTGACATCCTAGGAGCTAAAACAGCATCTTATTTTTTTCAGTGTGTTTAAAATGAACCATCGATATTATTACATTGAAATCGGTTGCAAAATGGATACAGTGCTTTCGACTTTTTTTCAAGATTTTGGAGGATGGTTTTCGGCAGGAGCATTCTTCGATGATTTATCTACAGACTGAAGTTTAGATTTTCCCAAAATAATTCACCTACAGGTTAAAATTCGATATATTGATCGAGCCCAGAATGCATTGCGCAAAAGCTGAAAATCCGCTTTAACCGGGAGCAAAGCCTGGGTATGTAAAGCTACCATTGGCTGTCAAACTTGCGTACACGTGTCTTGGTTTTTGACATTACAAGAACTTAGCGACAGTTTACTTTTTAGACCTCCTAACTCCGAAGGGATTTAAAAATGTTTATGATGCCTCAGTCCCGAGGTCAATCGAGCCACGCGGAATTTTTTGCATTTTCAGGTTTTACACCACTAAAAATCGCTAATAAAATGAATATAAAATAAAATTAAGATGGACAAAGGCCGCAAAAACATAACATATGATGGAATGTTTCGCGGTGTTGCAACCACATTTTCAACCGGCAAAAAAGAGAAAGGTTTGTTTCTTTATAATTTTCCTTTTTTTGGCGGTTGAAACACTGCGAAACATACCGGGGTTTTGTTTTACTTTTTAGCGGCCTTAGCCCCATTTTAAGTAGATTTCGTACTATCATTTCGGGCCGATTAAGTTGTTTTTTTTTTTAAAAAAAAAAATAATAATAATAATAAAATGAGTCTTCCTTCTGCAGCATGAAATAAAACATCAGAGCTGTTCGTAAAGCTATTGAATGCAGAGTCAGTGCTGTGGCAACTCAAATTAACAGTTTAAATGGCAAGTTGTTTCGCCGCCGGGTCTGTAGCACAAGTGAAATAATATGTGGCAAGAAGTCTTATCATGGGGGCTTTAGGTTAAAAGAAAATTCATTTTCGCTATTGCGCAGCTTTTCATATAGTTTCTCGTAGTTCTTAGTGGAAATATCCCTGAAAATTTCTTGTGGTAATATGATTTTAAAAAGAAAAACATGGACACGACTTTTGAATGATCATAATTGAGATGATTCTGCTAGTGATGATGATTGGATAATGCGTTTATCTACAGAAATACCAATACATTAGTGGTCATCATTATCTAATTGTATGTTAAACAAGTTATACATGTATTAGTTCACCGACATTATCTTTCAAAAAAGCATTGCTAATTTGGCTACAGGTTTGATGAGGCTCTTTTAATGCTAAGGTATGACCATAAGGATTGAAGTTGAAAATGAGGATGAAGTTTCTGAGCTTGAGGTAGGGCAGAGGGAGCGGTTGAGGACAAAGTTGATGTATAGGTTGAGAATAATTAAGAGCGGATAGAGGATGAAGCTGTAGTTGTGGTTGAAGTTGAATTTGAAGCTAAGGTTAAGGTTGAAGTTGAGATTGAGTTAGGATCGTGAATAAAGCTAGTGGCCATAAACTCTTCGTGTTGATTAACTAGTTACTTTGCTTAGGGAAGCTTGGGGTCATATTTAACTCCGTAGACACTTAGGTGTTTTGAATGATCTTGTAGATGTGACCCACTTGCTTAACTTATTTCTCGATATATAACTACAATATAACTACGCAATACAGTCACATCTGCAGAAATGTCAAAAGAATAAAAACATTCTACCTACTCAAGGCCACCCACGAGGCTATCATAATTTCCGAATTTCATTTTGCAAGGCCTCTTGTACAGAATTAACCCAAACCAAAGCTTCACTCAACCAGGTAAATTTGATAAATTTTTTGCGGTAAACAGATAGGCTGGTAACAATCCTGATCCGATGGACCGCTAAACAAGGTGCAAATTCCAGCATTATGGTATGTTATCTCATCAAAATTTTTACAGAAAAACTCTATTTTTACGACAAAAATTACCGTTTGTAATTCCTAAACACGATATCAGCGTTTTTTGTTGCATACACCTAAACTTCTCGCACACAGAAAAACAATGATCTACTTGAGTCGGGGCGCACGCAAAACATTACTGTGACAGTCCGTGGTATGAAAATGTGACCATTTCAATCTCGGCTCAACTATTGCATGTTGTTTACACTTTGAACAACACAGAGGGTAAGGGAGGGAACACTGCTTGATTGATAAACCTGCCAAAACGGATGTAGTGCGTGATTTGATAATATTGTTTTCTTGTGAGCGGGAAATTCAAAATTTTCAAACCCATGCTAAATAACGACAGAGCACAGGGAAGAATTTCATGAGCCGCCCTGCGCCGTCTGCAGCGCGCATGGCGCACGACCCGCTTTTGTTCACCTAGCGTTGAGAGTTTATCTATTACTTTACACGACCAGTGTGTGATTTTAAAAGTCAAAAATTTTAAAAAAAAATGCAAAAAAAAAAGAAGAAATATTTACAAGATATACGAGTTTCTTCGCCAAGGAGCACTCCCTGCAAGAAATCGTTCACCACCCGCTCGCGTCGGGGGCGCTGCGGCGTGCTGCCAGCGCGGAACGCGCACTGACGCCTGCAAACCTAAAAAACTACTTCACGCATTGCGCAATGCTTGAGGTATCCCTTTAGGTTTGTAGGCGTCAGTGCGCGTTTCGAGCTGGCAGCGGCAGATCGTCGAGGCGCAGCGTGCCATAGACTTGCCTACAATTAATAGGTCAGAGTGTTAAAATGTAAGCAATGTGACAACAAATTCGAAATTAGCAACTCAAGAAAACATCAGTTACGAAACTTGCGTGATCTTTTAGTCATTATCCGACTTATTTCTTTCGATTCTAGAGTTTTGGATCATAGTGCGCTGCGGGCACGCGGCGCTCATGAAATTCTCCCCTGTGCTCAATCGGTTAAATAAAAACGTTATTATCTTGATTTAGAGGAAATTTCAGTAAACCTCTCAGCGCAAATCATCTTCGATGTGTAATTTTGACGAGGAAGATTTGGACTTTATGTTTTGCAATTGGGAACTACCATTTCTGTCTCATCCATAAAGGCACTTACATGCATAAGGAAATTACTGACAAGTACGTTGTTTCTGAATTGAGCCGGGAAGAGTAGTACCATATCGCAAAATATAGCCCAATGGGCCTGTTTCAAACTTCAACTAGAGTAAAATGAAGAGTTATTTTTAGAAAATGGCTTAAAAATCACGATGAGCGGGTTAGTCTTGAATATGCGTGTACACTCCTAACTTTACATATGCGTAAGAAATATGCGTTTTCTAAAGCTTCTCACCGCAAAAACGATACTATGGCACAAAGTACGGCTAAAAGTAAAAGCCTCAAAATAGCCGCGATACAAGTGGAGGATCTCTTGTCTCTGTTTCCGATGCGCTCATCGTGACTTTTGACCCATTCTCTATAGAAAGAACACTTCTTTTTGCCCTAGCTGAAGTTTGCATGCAACAGGCCCATTTACCAAAATGCTTTTTCTGTGTTTTTTGTGTCAAAGATTCGTGCCTTGTCCAGAGGTCCACCGAAGCTGAGAACGGGAATGAAGTTGATAATGATGCGGCCGGAGCTTAGGGCAAAGCTCCCATTCCATGTCCGTCAAAAGTTCCGGGATTCGGGACTTTTTTGTTCCAATTTTTCCCACTCAATGACCGTCAAAAGGTCCGGGATTCTTTTTAGATTTTTCAAAAGTTCCAAGAAAAAAACCGGAAAATGCAAAAGATCCGGAATATTTCGGGAATTTCAAAAGTTCCGGAATTCGGTACCAGTTCTGGGAAATGGGAGCACTGGCTTAGGGTGCAGATATGAGAATGAGGAAAACGCATTGCTCCCAATCCTGGCCCGTCAAAAGTTCCGAGATTCCATTTAGATTTTTCCAAAAGTTCCGAGATAATTCCGAAAAATACAAAAGATCCGGAATATTGCGGAAATTTCACAAATTCTGAGAAAAATTCAGGAAAATCTCAAAAGTTCCAGAATTCGGCACTAGTTCCTTTCCAAAAGTTCCGGAAAATACTAGAGATCCGGAAAATTTTGGAAATTTCAAAAGTTCCGGGATAAATTTAGGAGAATCTGAAAAGTTCCGGAATTTGGTACTAGTTCCTTTCCAAAATTCCAAGGAAGTTCCAGAAAATACTGAAGACCCGGAAACTTTTAGAAATTTCGAAAGTTCCGGGATGAATTTAGGAGAATCTCAAAAGTTCCGGAATTCGGCACTAGTTCCGGGAAATGGGAGCATTGCAAATATATGAGAATGAGGAAAACGGCGAGAGGGAAGGTTCGGAGAATGACTGACCACTGGGCGGGAGATTAAGGATGATGGATTGATAGAGGATTTCGCTTTACCTGATATCGTCGAGTGCAGCACCTGGTGCAAGCTCGCAGGATGCCGATGCGACTCACGACCGAGTGGGTGGGGCTCAGCAGCGGCGAGGGAGAGCCCGGCCGCTTCGGGGCGCCGTTGAATGGAATTTCTAGCTCAACGAACTCCCGATTCTGAAACAGACCAGGCCGCCGTTTTAATTTCATTACGCCGCACACTGGGCCGAGTCAGCGGTCAGAAGTCGGACAACATCTGGAAACTTTCAAAGCTTAGATTTTCTGAAATATACAATAAAAATCTTTCAGATTGGCTCCATTGGTTTTACCGTGAAATTGAATTTGTCGGACAAAGTCTGGAAACTTTCAAAGCTTATCTTTTCTATAAAATATACAACAAAAATCTTTCAGATTGGCTCCATTGGGTTTTTCGTGAAATTGTATTGCAAAAACACCCTTAAAATTGAATTTCTGACAGAATTGACGTATTTTGCCGTGCTAAGGAAGAACGCCGTCTGAACATTCGAGAGTTGCCAACAGTGTTCGGAACTCACCTTTGAGTTTTATAGGAGCCATGTGGCGCATCAAGCCCGATTTTTAGGCGCCATTGAAGATTTTTTAGGGGCCAAATTGACTTTTTACCTATATATTACGGCGCATTTAGTGACAAATTAGACGCAAGATGTTTTCGTAACAGAACTAGTAAGTAGCTGTAACTTGGGGAAGACAAAAGCACTAAGAATGAAATCGTGAAGAATAGAAAAAGCTTTCACTTTTAATGCTGAAAAACTGAGTTTTTTCAATTCAAATAAATTTGTTTTTCTTTCTTTATGCGATTCCAATGAAAATCCAGATTTTTAGGGGGCAATTTTCAGGGGCCACGTTGGCGCAGAGCCTTCATTTTTTAGGCGCCATGACCGACTTTTTAGGCGCATTTGGTGCGTTGGCGCCTGTTAGTTTCGAACACTGGTTGCCAAATTTCCTTCAATATAATTTTTATTTTTGAGGGAAGGTATGGATGTTTTTCCTTGAAATTTTCAGGAACTTTAGGTGAAATTGCAAACAAAGTTTTCTGAAGAATCGGGAGGAAAATATTCATAAGTTTACCAGGCAATTCGTGTTTTATTAGAGGGAATTTGGCAACGCCTGAAGGCTCATACGGCGCGTTTTTCCTTAGCACGCAGTACACGGCAGTATTCATGTTAAAAGGAACTATGCACAAGTGGAAAGATGGGGTGTGCTCGTGGTGAGCTAAATAAGAAACAATGTAAAAGTGGATTTAGTTCCTTTTGAGAAAATGGAAAAGCGGAATTTGACATTAATTCAAAAGGAACTGAGCGCTAACTCGTGAGCCGTGGACATGTGACAAGAGCGTTGTGGACAGGGCTCATGAGTTAAAGACCGCCTTGTCGATCGTCGTCGCTCCCACCGTTGCCGCTGACGTCACTGGCGCTTTAAAATTCCCATTCATTCTTATGGCCCTCAACCAACGAGCACACTCCATCTTTCCGCTTGCACATAGTTCCATCTAGCATGAATAGTCCAAATATACGACAAAAATGTTTGAGATTAGCTCCATTGGTTTTTTCTAGAAATTGAATTTGTGACAAAATAAACATGAAAATTTGAAATTTTAGCCAAAAATTCATGTCCGACCTCTTCTATCAGCTCGTTCCACTGTGCGCCGTCCAACCAACTCGGGATAAATGGACGCATTTCTGCCAAACGGAACTACGTGCATTAAGACGTGAGCCCTGTTATGCATGTATTCTTATGGGTCTCAGGGCTCATGTCTTCATGCACATAGTTCCGTTTGATAGAAATACGTCCAAATGAAAAAGAGTCCACGCATGGCGGCCTCTCTTTCTGCGCCTTTGAAGTCGATTCAAGCTGCAGTGCTATCTCTCTCCGTTAAGCTCATGACGATCAAATGAAGCGTTATATTCATTAGTTCATTCAGAGACGAGATATTTTAGCCAATCTTCCATCATACTAGGTGTAAAAAATCATCTTTTCTACTCCTTGAAAAAATAGGCAAACTTAGAGTGCCCATGGGAAGATTACGGGGCAATGAAACTTATATTTTCGACGGAAGGTCAAACTAAAATTTTCAGGTATTTTCAATCAAATAGCGGGTGCAATTCTTTGGAAAAAAGGGATGTTCTGTAGAAAATTAGTATTTTACCGAAAGAAATCTGGCAACTTCCAAAGGCTCATAAGGCGTTTGTTCTAGAGGACCTACACAGGGAGAGTACGGACATGTCGGTAATTTTGAGATTAGGTCACGTAGCTATTAGGACCCAAAAAGACAGCTTATCTATGAATTCAAATCATCCAGAGTGATTTACAATTGTTAAGACCTGCCGTTTGTAAGGCCCGCATTTGACTTAGTATTTGCGTACATTAACTCATTTTTGCGGGAAACGTTCATTTACTAACATTCTCAGCCATCTTGAAGTGATATGGGAAGCAGAAGATTGGCAGGGACATTTTTGTGTTAGGTTGGCTGCCCTTTTGGGCCCCAAGAGCTCCAATTTCGACATGTCCCTGCGCTCCCTAGCTAGGTACTTTAGACAAACCCATGTGGACTGAAATTATTAGAGACGTACCAAGTTGTACCAAAGTTGAAGTGAGAAAAAAATGCGGCAAAACAGTTATTCTCTGGAATTATACCACTGTCGTCTCTTTAATGCTGAGCGGCAAGTTATAAAAAACTTTCTTTACTAGGAGAGCCTAATTTGACCAACTATCTTGACAAACTGCTCAATCCAACTTTCATGAGTCATAAGCGAGCAAAAAAAAAAAAAACAATTAAACACTCATTTATCTTAATTTGGTGAAAAATAGTGTCAATCCCTGTATGTAACTTGTATATTGCCCGCTCACATTGCTTTGATACAGGAGCGATTCTAGAAAGTTGGCAAAACTTTTTTCCCTCCATTTAAATATATGTGAAACAATCGATTCTTGGCTGCTTGCCTCGCCTATAGTCGATATTTTCAGTGAATTTAAATGACGGAAAAACAGTGTTGCCGACTTGCAAAATCGCTACTGCTTGGATGGCGAATGTGGGTCTAATCCAGTGTGCCCCTTACTGCGTAAAAGCAACGAACACCGGTGGCGTGGCGTGAATTGCGATGCATCGATTTTCATGTCATTTAAACCTATGGTAAAGAATCGATTATTGAGGTGTTCGCAGCGAACACCCTGTTTATCGATCCTTTTCCATAGGTTTAAATGGTATAACAATCGATACATCGCAAAGCACGCCACGCCACTGAACAACACAATAAAAGAAATGCAGTAATTTTAAGGCTTTTGTATGAACTCTTACTTCTACTTGGCGACAAATGAAAGTGAAGCATAAAATAATTTTGTGGGTTTCCAATTATTTCAAAATAATTGTTTGCTAACTAGTGCTAAATTGTGATTTTACTTGTATGTTCATAATATTGCTTTTAGCCGATTAGGTACTATATTGATGGCAAAGTAATAGTATTAGCGAGGGAATGAGAAATCTTGTGCATAGAAGTGATATTCTTGCGTTTGCGGAGGAGAAGGGTGCATTGTTGAGCGTTACATGGGGTCTTAAGACCAATAACCAGTCTAAACTAGTGTTGTGAGACTAAAAATGAATGCTTGATACTTTGTTTTCTACGAGTAATGAATGATATACCTACATTTAACACTCTGAACTTAGCTCTATTCAACGTTATGTAAAAAATAATAATCTTAATTTGACCAGAACTTAATCTTCAAAGATGTTCATGCTGTGAACCTCTCTATGAGTCTCAATGAGGATTGTAAGCAAATGATTTTCTTCGGCTTAAATGGACCACGCAAAAAAAAAGAAAAAAAGAAAAAAAATCATGTAAAGGGAAGAGAGTTCGAAAATGATTTCGGTTTTTCCCTCCTTCTTTCAGCTATAAAAGTGTAAAAGAAATTGGTCGTGCAATATATTAAGTGCAAGGTGTACTTGCCGTACAGTATTACTCTCATTCTCATTGGAGTTAACACATCGAAGAGTTTCCATTCACAAATGGATGAGAAAGAAAAATGAGCCTCAATTATCATCTTGAGCGAAGGGGAACGGCAGATACTATTATTAGCGCCTTGATGCAACTATACGTGCTTTAGGGATGTCCGTGTTGCATACCCAATAAACTGAAGGCGTTTTGGCATGCGGCCAACTCGCGGCACGAGGCTCTCATTTTCAGATTGAACTGGTTAGATATATGCATGATTCTATGTTTTTCGCAATTTTGCCGTCGGTTTTTCTCTGAGTAGTTCTTCATTTAAGGTTTCATGTGATTCCTTACTACTAAAAACTACTAAAACTAGTGCCTTAGATAGAGTAAAATAAAAACCAAACATATGTAAACATTATAATAGTGCCCCTTTTTTTCATGTTTTCCCTCGAGTAACTAAATTCACGAATTCTGCGGTTAACTTTCATGAGCCTTGACCTCTGAAAACGGATTCAGCCTTCGGAACTAGTACGTTACTCTTCGAAGAATTATTACGGGGCAAATGTTAATAATTCGATGCCAGAAACCTTTCCGTTTATTTGGAAGAGAGCGAGGAATGGAATGGTAGACAAAAATAAGCGATTCTTCACTCCGCGCACAGTGGATCAAGTCAATGGGAGAGCTCGGACAAAATTTGGAAACTTTAAAAGCTTCTAACTCCGTTCATACACAACTTTGAGATTTTAAAAGTGGTTCCATTCGTTTCCTCGTGAAATTTTCTTTTTAAGGCACCCCTAAAACTTTCAAATTTGACGAATTTAACATCGAAATTTGAAATTTGAGTCAAAAATATCATGTCCGATCTCCCTGATCGACTCGATCCACTGTGCGGCGTCCAAAATGTTTACTGTTTATCGATCGGGCTCTCACAAAATCTGCGATAAGGAAATTGCAAACGCTGGATGGTTTTAAGTGTTTGGCAGCAGTAGTGCATCGTTGGCCTCGGGGCGTTCGATTAAATATTACGAGGTCAGAAGCGTTCGAATGACACTGGATTTAAGAGGAGATGATAAAAATTGATACTTAGAAAACCGGGGTGCTGTAATATGTTATGAAAGGGCTGACTAGAGAGGCGATTGGTCGGTATTGTATGGGTGTATACAGGGTGTCTTGGAATTAAACAGCCAAAATGCAGGCGCTTGTTTTACG